GGCACAACATGTGCCCAAGTCAAAGTGCTTGCCTCTGCACTCCTACTCCTCCCTGTCCCATCCTGCCCCGCCCGCCTGCCCGCGGGCCCTTCCCGCGCATGTTAGTGTCGCGTCCTCGCTTTCGCTGAGGCCAGCAGCGATCTCATTTTGTAGCCTTCCGCGCGCCCGCTACATTTCCGATTACGCACTCGCGCACGCATGCACGCACGCACTCGCACATACACGCACGCCGAGTGTACAGGGTGTTCCGGAGCAATGAATGTTTCTTCTTCTTCGTCGACCGGAGACCGACCGGGAATACGTTTCTTTCGCAACTCGCGACGATTCGTCGTCCACGGCTGTCCGCGTCTTCGTGGACGGCTGATCAGAAGATGAAAATTCTGTCTAGGCGATTCCTCGCCCCCTCCCCTCATTCAGGGCGTCGAGGAGCGGCGGCGGAGTGTGGCGCTGGAAGTAACTGGATCAGTAGTAACTGTCGGTTCGGAGAGACTAACTAGACTAGAAGGCTAATTAGACTTGAATAGACCGGTAGAACGGCGCTCGGAAATTAACCGGCGGACTAGTTCAGCGGCTTAAATATACCGGCGAACGAGTAATCATCTATAGTCCGCGACGTGTGTGCGTCTGCAATCCGCGGACACCGCTCTGGTCTAGTTCACCGTCGACCAATCCGGCCCGGGTCTTCATCTTCGTATCTTCGACGCTCTCCCCGTGACGGAAACGCGCATCTGTCGCACGGTCTCCCATTTTTCTCTTCTTTTTCCGGCTGCGACTTCAACCGCATGGACGCTGAATCAGGCTCCGAGAATCGGCGAGAAAGAGAGAGAGTGGGGGGGGGGGGNGGGTCGTGTCGTTCGAATTCTCGAGTCTCTGCCACTCTCCGACGAATTTCACCGCGTGCAATTGCAACATTGTTACGTCAGTGTGCGGCGCGCGGTTTACCTTCTCCGTCGCGCGCGCGCGCGCGCACGCGACGCGACATTTGAATCGCGGCGAATGTTTGCCGAACGAAAGCGCGTGGCGTCGCTTTGGAACTATCCCCGATGCACGATAATGCACTCGGTGGCGTCTGCCGCACGTGCTGCAACCCGAGTGTTGTACATTATTATGCAAACGTGAGCGTTCTGCCTCCCCCCTCCCCTCCCCCTCTCTCTTTCCCGCGCGCGTGCGAATTATCGGTGAGATGTGCGACTTGCCTTCGCGAATTCCTCGACGAATTCGGAATCGATTTGCCTATCTCCGCGAAGCAACTGGCTTTCCTTTTGGTTATATTTCCATTGCGTTTTCGTTCTATATATAACGTACAATTGGTGTAATATAACTATACGCGCGCGCGCAAAGTGTTTTGTAAAGCTTTGTGCACAAGTCGATGTGGTATCATTCGTTATCATTCGCGTATTAGTTTAGACGCCGATAAAACTCGCTTCAATTAATTATGCGCGGCGTTCCTCGATAATTTGAGGATATCGAGAAACGTCGTGTGTTCGCCGACATTGATTATACCGATCCGTATTCAAAGTGAAGGTTGGTAAGACCAAAGCAAAGACCAAATAAAACTGATGCGAATGTTAAGGCACAAATTATTGAAGTCGAAGAGAGAGAAAGAGAGAGAGAGAGAAAGTGAGAAAAGAGAAATTCCTGAATTAAAACTGAAACTAAAATTAATAAAACTGTAGTCAAAGTTGCGCGAACACTAGAGCTGTGATAAAGCTGAAGCCCGAAGCGCCAAAGTTCGTAAACTAGAGACCGATATAGAGTTAAAAAGCCAATGAAGCTAAGGCCAAAGACGCGAAGGTTAAAATGCCAAAGTTAGAACTCCGATGCGAAACTATAAAGTTGACGAGAGAACCCGAAGCTTAGCCCTTGCGTATCTGTCCGTCCTCTCTCGCTCGAAAGAGAGATCTTTGTCAAAGAGTGTATGTGTGTGATGTATAGGTATATATGTATCCGTCGTTCGGCAATTGCGGCGGCGTGTCCGTTGTTCCAGCGAGGGCGCCACGTGACACCCGGCTCTTCGCTTTCTTCAATCCATTCAACAAGACTGACCGAGTGTGTCGCGCTCGCTCGGCATCACGGACGGCTTTACGCAGGGAGTTACGCACGTTTCGGAACGCGCCACTGTCCGCTTATCGCATGTCCCAAATTACGCGGGTAACTCGACGCGCGTCACGCTATTAAACCGTGTACATACATATGTGCACACACACTTGGCAAATTAACGTTGCAACATGTTTTTTTTCCAGTGAGTTTCGCAACGTATCCGATAGGAAAATGTATCTCCCGAGAATTATTGAAAAACAAATTCTCCTATTGAGTACGGAATGCGTTCCGACGCCTATCAAAAAGATTGCAACTATAATTTTAAAGGCTCGGGGAAAACTGAGATTTTTCACTTTCATGTTTTTTCGGTTTCTTTTCTCGAAAAAAGAAAATTATAGAAAACCCCGAATTTTTCATTTTTCCGTGGATTTTTTTTCAGTTTCTTTCCACGAGAGATTGAAATCAAACATTTTTTTTTCAAATTATAGTTACAATATTTTTTCAAATAAATTTCGCAACGCATATTATACCCAATAGGAAAATTTATTTTCTTAGAATTACTAAAAAAAAACGACGTTTTCTATTGGGCACGGAATACGTTTCGGAAACTTATCGAAAAAATGCATTGCAAGCTTTTTGTGACTGACTATACTTATGTATATAAGTGTATTATGTATACATGGAAGAGGGGAGAACCTCATTGACACAAAGTTTGTGAATAATGTTGGGTTCCGCTCCGATTCGATTTTATTCGATCTCATTCGCGCGATACCGATTCCATTCGCGATTCTTCGATTTCGCAATTGCTCGCTCTCGTGCAGTCCAATGGAGAGGAAACGTCGCGACATTGTCGCCTCGACGAATTTCAGAGCGCGTCCGGTGCGCGATAGTAGTTGTCCTTCGGTAATTTTCGAAACATACATTTTCGCATGCGCGTCCTGAAATTTCTCTCATCACCGAGGTGAAAGTATCCGCGTACTCTTTCCACCATCGGCTGTACGAGGCTCGCGTGCGGAACGTAATTCGCGAGCGACATTCGGATTATTACATAAAGACGCTCGTCGCGTTCAGTCATCGTCGGCGACGTGGTCGTCAACGGGCCAGCGATAATCCGTCTATCGGGGGTCGGATCGTGTCCATCGCGTTCCGATATAATGTGAGTCATATGTGTCTAGCGCGCTCTCGCGCTACACTCTCCTGCACTCTCCGCGTCCAGCGGTGAGAAAGAAGAGGCAAGAAAGTGTAGCGCGGGGTGCGGACGAAAGGAACGGCAATGGAGAATGAGCGAAGGGCCGGGGAGCGAGCGACAGAGTGATCGGTTTCCAATCGCCGCCGAAAACGGGTCGGAAACGTCGTGTCGGCGCGCGCGTTCCCGCGAGCGACGAACGAGCGAGCGAGTGAGAGGGAGCGATGTCCACGAGCGAAGCGAGAAAGAAAGAAAGAGGGAATGACGCTCGCTATTAACGCTGCCGAAAACGTTAGCCCCAGCGCAGTAAGGCGAGCGAGTGAGTGAACGAGTGAGTGTGAGAAAGAGAGAGAGAGAGAGAGAGAAAGAGAGAGTGAACAAGTAAGAAAGAAAGAGAAAGACAGCGAGCAAGTTCGTCTCGGCGCAGCGATCGCCGCGTATATCTAGAAACTACGTGAGCGCCTCCTTTTCTCTCCGCGTCGCGTGCGTATGTGCGTGCGCGTATATATACGTGCGTGCGTGGTTGTACCTCTCTTGGCGCTTCCCGGCGTTTTTCGCGCTCTCTGTCCCCCTCCCCTCGCGAGTCTTCCGCGCGTCGTCGCAGCGTCGTCTTCGTGGTCGTCGTGTTCCTCGGTTTCCCCGTAGCCGCCGCCGCGACTAAGGCGGCCAACGCACCGAGCGAGCGAAAAAGAGAGATAGAGCGCGGCCGGATTCCGCGTCCGTGGCGGACGCGTGCACTGCGCAGGTTAAGCCGGCGCGTTTCAAGGTAACCTCCAAAAAGAAGCGCGGTCTGAGAAAGAAAGATAGAAAGAGAGAGAAAGTGGCGTTCCGCGAATGACGCTTCCTTTCTTCGCGTTCCTGGCCTCTTCTTGCCAGCCGATACGCGTACTCGTGTATCCGGATACCCGAAAGAAAAAAAAGAAAGAGGGAGCGAGCGTCGTGACAACGAGGCTCTCTCGCTCACGCGCGGATATAGGTTAAGGCGAAGAGCGTCGTCTCGACGAGCGCGCGACGCTGTGAGAGTGAAAAGAAAGAAAGAGAGCGTACACCGTTAACCCCGCGAAGCTTGGACGAACACGATCGCCGTCCATGACGAGTTGCGACAGGTCTGTTTTCCCTCGGGGAAACCGCGTCTTCTCTCTTTCTCTCTCACATTCTCTCATTTTCTACCACGGAGACAGCGCTCCTTTTCCCTCTCCGGGTCGTGCACCCGGGTGTTGCATCGTTCGGTTTGATTTCGTGGGTGCAGAAGGTGCAGATGCAGCATGTAGAAAGACTTTGGATCCTCGTCGATGCACCTCATCGCAATGTGTGTTTTTATCGGGAACGTTCGGGACGAGAGAGAGAGAGAGAGGGAAGGAGCGTTTCGTTGCTCTCACGCGGGAGCCGCGCTTTTATCTCTCGGCTGCATGTGTGGGAAAAGTGCGAGTCGTGCAAACGGCGGCGACGACAGTTTACTCATCGTGCCGCCGCTGCACTCTCGCTCGTTTGCGTTGCCTTTGTGTAAATGAGAGTCACCAGGTGCGTCGCCGCGCGTGATAGAGGCCGCGCGTGTGTGTGGTGTGCTGCGCGCACGTGTGTGTACGCGTGGCACGCGTGCGACGGTGTGTGCGCGTTTTTGAAATTTTTACGTTCGTCGGCCGCGCGATATCTCCTTATATCTCACCGTACTATTTGATAGATGTATATATGTATGTGTGTATGTATGTATGTACGTGTAGATTTGTGCAGTCGTGCCTGTCTCGTTGAACTAACGTTGATCCTCGTCTTCCAGGAGACGGTGTCCACTGAGCCGTGATGCGTTGGAGATTCGGCGGTCCCTGTCCGAAGACCGACCAGCAGCCAGTGTTACAGAAGCAATTTGTGTGACAAAGCATAAAAGAAGAGGAGCGAGTGCGGAATCGTTGTCGTTGTTATTGTACTTGGACTATAACACGCGTGCCGCTTGCGAGTGCTTGCGTCGTCGCTGCGAGTGCCGTTGTACTCGTCCCGAGACTCGTGCCGCCTGCCGCCCCTGCTGCGGGACGCGAGGACGAGGTGGTGGTGAAGGAGATTCAGCAGCAGCAGCAGCGTGCTGATAGAGGAGTGACACTGGGGTTGGTTAGTGACACTGAGAGCGCAAGTGAAAACTATAAAAATAGGGGGGGCTGTCTGACCGATGGACAAACGGAAGATGATGTCCAAACGCCCTCGTATGGAGAACCTGAGGGGTCCGATCCAGAACGGACCGATTCAGACGCGACCGTTAGTGGCATTGCTCGATGGACGGGACTGCTCGATTGAGATGCCCATTCTGAAGGATGTCGCGACGGTGGCTTTCTGCGACGCCCAATCCACCTCGGAGATACACGAAAAGGTATCATCTTTATCGTTCTTCCCCTCTCGCTCTCCATGTTCTTCGTGCTGTACCAGATACTGTGTTGCAACGAGTTCATAGTGGAACCTTTTTCGAATCATGGTCAGGAGCATGCATCCTGGAGCACAGAGAATGCCTCGAGAATGGTGGCAGTCTTTCAGTTGGATCTGGGGAGACTGCATCCTCCTTTCAAAGCATTCTTCATGCGCAGTCTGAAATTTACATCTTCAAGTGTGTATCTATAGGTCTGTTCTTTAATACTTGCACTTTCTGAGTCATCTTGTGATCTTTCTGTTTTCTTCAATATGTTCTATCGATAAAAATTCTTTAAATGTGGCTCTTTAGCCAATCGGATGGTTTCTAAGCCACTTTTAAAGGCACTTTTATCGATAATACGATGAATAGATTTTAGAATGCAGGCCTGTGTGTATCTATTTTAAGTGCGGACAGTGCAACTATAAAGAATAGACCTTTTGAGACCGTTTTACTTCGTACGTCTCACATATACCTGATATTCTTCTCCAACGTGTTCAGTCTATGCAGTCGCAGAGACAGTCGTCGAGATAGACTGTTTCTGTCGCAAGTATATCGAAATATCGATATAATTCCGATTTTCTCGCAGGTACTAAACGAGGCGGTAGGAGCGTTAATGTGGCACACCATCATTTTGACGAAGGAGGACCTGGAGAAGTTCAAGACGTTACGGATCATCGTGAGAATCGGCTCGGGAGTCGATAATATCGATGTCAAAGCAGCGGGCGAGCTTGGCATCGCTGTGTGCAATGTGCCTGGCTATGGTGTCGAAGAAGTAGCTGACACCACCCTCTGCCTCATTCTAAATCTCTATCGGCGCACGTACTGGCTGGCAAACATGGTGCGCGAGGGCAAGAAATTCACAGGACCAGAACAGGTATGAATATTAAGCTCTTACGTGTAACGTCTTGTGTAATCTTCATCCACAGGGTATGTCCGATCTTAATTGAGAAGGCACACAGAGAAACGTAAGCAGCGAGGCTTGAGCAGTGAGCGAATCGATCAGCCACAGCCGAGAATTTCAGCATAGGCTCGGTTCTTTACGTAAAAAAAAAAAAAAAAAAAAAAGAATGACTGAATAATTTCAAAAAGAAATTCTGCACGTTCTTAATAGTCGCACTAAGCCGCGCACTGTCTGTGCTTAAAATGAAATAGATTCGTACTTTACGCTTGATGGAAGAGAGGAGAAACGGGGAAGATTGCGAGATAGTTCAGAAAATGCAACTGTAAAGAACAGATCTAATATTCCTATCAAGTCGCTTAGTTTTATTGCTTACGTTTGCTGTTACTTATTACGTTTATCGCTTGCGTTTTTCTGTACGTTATCTGCTTAAGCTCCCTGTTTTTCCGAAACTTGTCTCAGTGTTGGGAAAATGTTGCTTAATTAAATTAGCAACTTCTCTAACGTCTTAATTAATAGAGGCTTTATACCGAAGTTGAATTTAATACCATCAGAGTTGCGTAGAATTTACGAGAGTTACGTGTAATCTGCTGATTAAATCTGTTCGCTACATTTCTCCGGTGAAGTAAGGTTAGAGCCGTTAGACGGACCGGCTTGATATATTAATAACCTTCTCGTGTGCTTTTCAGGTAAGAGAAGCGGCAACCGGATGTGCAAGGATACGGGGCGACACTCTGGGTATAGTTGGGCTAGGCAGGATTGGATCAGCGGTAGCGTTGCGTGCCAAAGCTTTTGGCTTCACCGTCATTTTTTATGATCCCTACCTGCCGGACGGAATCGAGAAGTCGCTAGGTCTCACCAGGGTTTACACGCTACAGGTTCGTATCCCGCGCGATGTGATCTTATCTAAAGTGCTGAAAGGACAATTGAAGATCGTACGTTGTGTTAAGTTAAGGTGAAAGTGCCAATACTTGAATAGGTACACCTAACTCTGCGTATCCTTGTTGTTTTGCTCTTTAACTACGAATATCTAAACATGCAACGTAGAGTATACATGCATACATTGACATACATAGAGTGTTTCGAAACAAAAAATAGGCTGGGTACATCTAGCCATGTAGGATACATCAATGCAAACAAAGAAATTCGTATAAACATAGTGTCTAAAACGTTTAGTTGACGAGTTAAGGCCATACAAAGATTAGTCTGCATCCACAACAGGGGTGTAGTGAGCCTTTTCAGTCCTTTGCACCAAAGATTAAGTTGTAACGTAACTTCTAACAAAGCGTTTCCAGCATTACTAAACGCCGTAATTTCTAAGATTTAAGCATTATTACGACTTTTGACTACATGGGAAATGCCTTTTGTTACAAATTACGTTACATTTGATTGCTTCTTTTATTGCTTAAACCAAAAGATTTACTATACTTACTGTACAATAAAAGGCTTAAGCGTGGTCTACAATGGGCAGTAGAAATATATTCATAAGAAGCAAGAATGAAAAATTGATCAATCATATTCGAATGTAAGAATATAATCGACTATTATGATTGGTTAATTTTTTACTCTTCTTATAAACATACTCTTTTACTGTCCATTGTAGATCACGTTTTACTATACGTTTACTACAAAGCTCACTACAATATCTTTTGTCAATCCGGACTTATATGAAGAATTTTTGTGTTAAAATAGGTGCTGATTTTAATACTCACTTTAACTCATAATAACAAGCACTGCTTTATTGATACAAATGAATGTAAGATACGTCAACATAAATCAAAAAGTTTCCTAAACTTAAAACACTGTTGTTGTTCTGCGGCAGGTCCTATTATGTCAGGTATTGAAATAGTTTCTTCATTGTTTGTTAATAAATTTTCTGTCCGTATTTATTTGTCATTTCTATGAAGTGTCATCTGTTTAAGAATGAAGAACTATTTTACGGAAATGACATGCACTTAATGTACGGTATGGCAGACTGGAATTTGGGCTAAAGCTAGACGACTTTACTCGGTATGATTTCCAAATCAACATTTGCCGGATGAAATAACATTCGGACGAATTCATTTTTATTTACGAGAAACTGCATTAAAATCATTAAAACTAGTGCCTGTTATGGCACAAAGTTTATAATATAACACAAAAATTCTTGTAATCTTCACACAGTCTTAACTCGTCAATTATTTGGACATTTTAAGCACCATGTTTATATGAAGTTTGTTTCCATCGATGTATCCTACACGACTACGTATAACCAGCCCATCTTTTTGTAAACAATCTGTATATATATATTAACATATAAATATATTTTATGTTCAAAGTTTGAGTATTTATGCTTAAGGATCAAAATAACAAGAATGTCGAGGCATTGATGCTTTATCTTGCGTTTTTTTTTTTTAATAATAATAATAAAGTAAATGATATATTCGTTATTAAATATTTTTAGTTATTCATCAAATTACAAGTTTTTTAAAGCGTTAATTCCGGAAGAGAGTGGTTACTGAGTGTTTCACGTTAGGTTTTATTGGCGGTGTGGTGCAAGATTAGCAAACTCTGCATGAAATCTAAAATTATGTTGTGAATTTATTAAAAATTTACCGAGGCTGAATTCGTGGACCGCTTGTCATTTCAGCGCTTTCACTCGGTCCTTTACCTTATTAGTTCAGTATTGAGAAATCGAGAGAGATCTCGGTAGTTGCTTTTCACGAAATACAAATGTAATCGTATTAAACGTGTTACGAAACGTTCGTTTTGATCGATCCACTAACTGGAAATTTCTCCGCTGTGTTACAGGATTTGCTATTCCAATCAGACTGTGTATCTCTACACTGTACCTTGAATGAACACAATCATCATCTAATAAACGAATTCACTATTAAACAGGTATGTGTGCAAAAAAGAACGATTACAAACTAATGAATTCTGGAAACCTTATTTGTTGTCGATACAATTTGATGAATCGACTGTGCAGATGGTTGTTAACATGCACTTCGCCGCGTGTTGCAGATGCGACCAGGAGCATTTTTAGTCAATACAGCGCGAGGTGGTCTAGTAGACGATGACGCGCTAGCCGGAGCGCTCAAACAGGGTAGAATCCGCGCGGCGGCATTAGACGTCCACGAAAACGAGCCGTACAACGTCTTTCAGGGTCAGTCCGCGCAATGTGAGTCTTATCTGTCCATGCCTAATCCCCTCGTCTCTCGTCCAACTAACGTCTCCCTTTACACCTCCCCAAGCCCATCCTGTCCTCGACCTATGGTGTAGGTAGGTAAAGGCTTTGCACATTTCCCAGTGCTTTCCTCGGCATGGCTTGAGAAAAAACCGCAAAGAAAAAGAGTAGTACCGAAGACGTGTATTGTTTCGTGCTGGATATACAAGGAAGAAATATGAAATTTATCCGAATTTTCGCACACGAATTGTCATAATTGCATAAACGTAAGACGTAAATTTAACCTGAAGAACCAATCAAGATATTACTTTAGATTTGTTTACTTCAGAAGAAGATTGAAATGACTATGGACTAGGATTCAGACTGAATAACTAGACAGAAAAAAGTTCTAGATTCGATTAAATAATTACTCCAATATACTTGAGCAAATTTTTAGTTGGATTAAGTAAATTTTATTTAGATAATATTTATTTGAAGAATATTTTGCCTGGATCAAGTAAATATTATTCGATTTAAGTAAAAATTAGTTAAGAAATATTGGAGTAATGATTTACTTGAATTTGGCACTTTTTTTTATGTAGAATTTCATCTAATCGAATTCTAATTCTGTTACGATTTACTGTCAGGGAGAGAGAGAAAGAGAGAGAGAGAGAGAGAGAGAGAGAGAGAGAGAGAGAGAGAGAGAGAGAAAATTCTATCTTTTTCCAGAGTATATATATTTAAAGCAATATTCTCATTAATGTTTCAATCTAAATTCACTTTATCTTGTGTTTACGGCAATTCATGTGCATAGGTCATTAACACGTTTCGTACCGAGCACATCATTAATGGTACACGCTTGACTTTCCGCTTGATGATTATTCAGACTAGTTTATATTTTGAATATAAGATGCATCATCATAAAATAATTCATAATATCATTGATTCGTAGATAACTATTATGTACAAAACAGTTATTACATTGTGTACTATCGATGGTACACGCGAAGTAATAATCAGTTTCCAATTGGCAAGCTATACACAGTCATTATATTGTTTCTTGTTATGATAAAAAAGTTAAAAATCTAAGTTACAAGGGAAGTAAAACTAAGCAGTTAGTGATATTTTTTGATGATTGCCTAAAGAAACTTTATGTATGCACAGATTGTTTTAACAGAGCACATCTCTCATAATATGCGATGGTAAACAAAAACTATTTAATAACCAATATTGGTTATATAATCCAAATTCGTTATATAATTTTTTATATATATATATTCTGTTTTATTTTGTTTTGTCTATATGTTTTGTTTGTTTTGCGCGTGCTGTAAATTTCTATCTAATTATAAATTGTTTAAATCGAGCCTGTTTGTTTTGTTTAATTGTGCATTTTTCATGTTTTTTTTTTT